TATCTCCTCGGCTTGTAGGAGAGGGCCATCGTTTTGGAAAGCATCCATATCTGAAGTGCTCCCTGCAAGCAGAAGATCAACACAGCAAGCAAATAAGGGGGGGGGAGGTGCAACTCTCTCTTCCTGATGTGTTAGTTTTGAATGAAGGGACATTCAACGCCCGAAATGCATCCCCTGCAGTCTTAAGTGGTTAAGTCTATATTAACACCTTCTTGTGTGAACCAGGCCTGGTTAAGATTCCAATCTTGGCCAATCTAATCTAGCCCTGCATTGCGTGGTCAACCCAGCAATGACTCGCAGGCTGGGAAAGGTCTTTGCCAGCTCTGCTTCCTGAAATCTTTGTAACTGGAGGTTGAGCCCTCTTGAGATTTAACCCTCTCGCCTGCAAAGCAAGCCGCCATGGACATTTGACAACTGAATCATGAGCATTGGGGCCGGTTCCAGGTTTTGAGGGGCCCTGGGCAGAGAGCTCCCAGGGCCCCCTTCCCTTCTTCTTCCCACCACCAGGCCCCCCACATATGCCCTCCATCTAGGGTTGCCAGTCTCCAGGTGGTGCCTGGAGATCTCTCGGAACTACAACTGATCTCCCCAGGAGCTTCTGGAGATACGAGTCATGTGACACCACTTTCAGTCATGCCACTGGAAGTGATGTCATGACATGACTAGGACGCTCTAGCAATCCCCCCCAAAATGCTATGCCTATACAGAACCTCCATATTCAGCAGCAGAGCTGCCAGTGGGAAGGGGGGAAGAACTAGAGAAGTATTTGGCCTCCAAGTCCTCCTTGTAAGCTTTCCAGAGGCATCTGGATGCTCTCTGTGAGAAGTCAGGTGTTGGACTGGACAGACATTTGGTTTCATCTGGCAGGGGTCTCCTTCTGCCATTCCTACAAGCATGTTGCCCTGTTGTTGTCTGTGTATGCTCGGATGCCTTGCAGGCCTGGCATATGGGATTCGTACAGATATTTCCGCGCAGGAGACGGTGGTGTGGGATTTATCAGGCAGGAGATCCCAAAACCACCACGGGCAACTCAATCCGCTGTTGAACGTCTGCTATCTGCTGGAAGTTCTAAGTATACGTCTGTGCTTCCTTTGGCCCGCTCTTATCTAATCCGGTTTCCCTTCTCTGCCAGCTTCCTCCTCAGCCTCTGACACTCAGCCAGGGTTTCGGAGCGCCCTGCGGCTTTCTTTTCCGCTGCTGTTACTGTTTCCTCACCGCCTAGCCACGGGGTGTGTTGTGGAATCCCTGTCAGGCCTCTATTTACATTCCTACCGTCCACATCAATGCGATAGGCTCATTGTGCTTAATAATTCCCTCAGAGGCTCTTTATCCTGTGGCGAAGTGTCGCAAGAGCAGACTTGAAAACCGACCCGTTGATCCAGTGCCCATCCAGCCACAGTGAATTAAGGACACCTGTATGTGTATGCATAAACTCGGGGGAAAGAGAGATGTATCAGCAGGCATGGATTTGGATATGTCTGAACTGAAGGAAGGACCCCAGCCTCATTTCTCTGGGGGCAGTGCGGTCTGGAAAGACAGGGTCCCTCCTTTCCTTTCCAATGTCAATATGATCTCATAAGAGGGAATGTGGTTTAGGGGTTGGACAAGGACCCCCTGGCCCATCTGGGTCCCAATCCATACTCAGTTGTGAAGCCCACTGTGTGACTTTGGGGCTAGGGTTGTGAAAAGTATGCATACGGAGAGTGATTTCAGCTAAGCATACCTTTATTTAGTCAGGAACAAAGACACCTTAACCGGCACGCAGGCCGGCTTATATTCCCTCAGAGAAACCCATCACCAAACACCCCCCCACTCCCGATAGGCTATTTACAATGCTCAAGAGACCTCTTGGCCTCTTGGCCTGGGACCTAGCCCTTTCATTGGGCCTGGCTAGGATCCTACTGGCCCATTGTCTTTTGGCATGAAGCTAGTGGTGTTTGTGCCTGGGCAAGTCCAGGCATGCCCGGCCCTGACAGGGCCTGATACACAACAATGTGCAAAGCACATTTGGGATAAAATCTCCTCAAGGACTACTTATAGAAAAAAGAGGGTGGGGGCAGCCTTTTGGAGGCATATGCATCTTGGCTCTGAGTCGCCCCTTCTAACAGCTGCCCCCCACCCTCTTTTTTCCTGTAAGTAGCCCTTGAGGAGACTTTATTCCAGTTTGTCTGAAGAAATGTGCTTTGCACACAAAAGCTTACACTTGGATTTATACCCCACCCTTCACTCAGAGCGGCTTACAAACTCCTTTCCCATCCCCTCCCCACAACAGACACCCTGTGAGGTAGGTGGGGCTAAGAGAGTTCTTTCAAGAACTGCCTTTTCAAGGACAGCTCTTGTCAGAATTATGGCTTGCCCAAGGTCTTCCAGCAGCTGCAAGTGGAGGAGTGGGGAATCAAATCCGATTCTCCCAGATTGGAGTCTGCGCACTTAACCACTATACCAAAATTTGTTGGTCTTAAAGGTGCCACTGG